CTTGAGTACAGCTGGCGGAATTGCGATGCCTATAGAATGCAGACGATATCGGAGTAGTGACAAGACGTGAGCGACACAAGTGAAGTGATCGGGATGGAAGGTGTTCAGGAAGCGCTAGCCAGATGAGTGAAGTTTAGCGCATCGGAGAAAATCTGCGTCTGTACCGACTTCGACCGGCAGTCGCGTACCCTCAACCCCAAATCGCAAGTTCGCATCATGTATCAATAGCATTGGCATTTTCAGGCGTTCTCATTTCTTTTCTCTTCCCCAATGATGGATCGCCATCAGCGCGTCGTTGCGCAAGTCGCGTCCAAAGTCAAAGACTACTTTACGCGCAAAGAACCCTTCCGGATATCTCACGGCTCGACGAACAGCACGCGTCCGAATCTTAAGAAGCATGTCGTCGATATCAGCGCTCTTCGGAATGTCATACGCGTTGATACGGATAGCAAGACAGCTCTTGTCGAGCCAAACGTACCTATGGATCGGCTTGTAGAGGCTACGCTACCGCATGGCCTTGTGCCACCCGTCGTGATGGAGTTCCCTGGTATCACTGTTGGTGGCGGGTATGCGGGCACAGCTGGCGAGAGTAGTAGCTTCAAATTTGGGTTCTTCGATCGCACTATCAACGAGGTAGAGATGGTCATGGCCGACGGTGAGGTCGTGAAAGCTAGCGAGAAGAAAAACGAGGACCTGTTCAGAGGGGCTGCCGGCGCTGTCGGCACCTTGGGAGTAACTACGCTTGTCGATCTGAAGCTCATCGAGGCCAAGAAATATGTCAAGACAACATACTATCCTACACGTAGCATTACTCAAGCTGTTAAGGAAGTCGAAGACCATACACGTGGTGAGAAAGGCGAGAGGAACGACTATGTTGATGGCGTCTTGTTCAGCAAGGAACACGGTGCGATCGTCACAGGCGAGATGACAGATGATCTGCCACCCAACACCAAGCCGCAGACTTTCAGTAACCCGTGGGATCCGTGGTTCTATCTGCATGTTGAAGCCGCTACACGAAATTCTTCCAAGCCAGTAGTGGAGTACATCCCCTTAGCTGAGTACATGTTCCGCTACGACCGTGGTGGCTTTTGGGTCGGTCGGTCCGCTTTCAGCTACATGCGCTTTCCCTTCAACAAGTACACTCGCTGGTTCCTGGACGACTTCCTCCATACGCGCATGCTTTACCGAGCTCTTCATGCTTCCGGGATTGCGACACGCTACATCGTCCAAGACATGGCTTTACCCTACCCTAACGCCGAAAAGTTCATCGACTATACCGACAAGGAATTCGGTATCTGGCCTCTTTGGCTCTGCCCATTGAAGCAAAGCCTCCAACCAACTATGCACCCTCACACCAAAGGCGCGCTGAAGTCAGACCAAATGCTCAATATTGGTCTTTGGGGGTTTGGTCCTAAAGACCCTGTTACCTACTTGCAGAAGAACCGTGCGCTGGAGAAGACGCTTGGCGAGATGGGCGGTATGAAGTGGCTGTATGCGCAGACCTACTACAGTAAAGATGACTTTTGGGCACAATTCGATCATAAATGGCACCAAGGGTTGAGGAAGAAGTACAACGCGGAGATGCTGCCTGAGGTGTATGACAAAGTGCACGTCGATATCGAAAAGTACACGAGTATGGCAAACAAGGATATGGGGTTGAAGCTGAGAGGCATATGGCCATTAGGCGGGTTTTGGGGTATCTGGAAGGCTATTCAAAGCAAAGACTACATGATCGCGCGTAACTCTACGTGGAGGTCAAGAAGCTGAAGAAAATCTCTTCTGAGAGCAACAAAGTCATATTGAATTCGCATTAGTCAAAAGACCCTGTTGAGACGATTTGTGCGACCTCGAAGAGTCTCCAGTGCAAAGCTTGCTGCCTGCCTAAAACTTGCTCACACCAACCTCTCAACACCCACAATACCACAACACCTGCACTTCTCTCCGTCCAGCATGAACGCCTACCCTATCGCTCCTTCGCTCGTGTTTACGGATATGTTCCGCATGGCGGTCGTCCACTTGATATTCAACATCCCACTGAACGTGTTGGACGAGACTGCTGAAGCCGTCATGCGCGAGGTGACCGCCAATATCGACGCGGACCCACTCAAGTTGAAGCATACGGTCGACATCATCTACGCGAGTGCCATGGAAGACAGGAATTGGGTATATGTCGCAGTCAAGCTGCTGAACTATCTCTGCCATCTCATCCCAGCAACACTGGCCGATCCCAACGTACTCCGCGATGGCAACAACCAGCTACGCTCCGGCGCGCGCCTCGTTCAACACTACATCTACACGCGCTCGCTGGCCGACTTTCAAGCCGACATGCAGAAAGCCGCATGGTGCCAACCGCGCATGTGGCTCCTCGCTGAACTAGGTAAGTCTTGTCTCTACGAAGTGCATGTGAGACATATAGTGACTTCGTACCTCTACCTCTGTAGCCGACGCAACATCATCAACTCTCCTTATGTCGCTCAAGACAAATGTTTGGATCTTGGATATGATGGTAAGTGCACAGCATCTGTTCAGCAACCATAACATCGACCTGTTTGTCGAGTACGTGGAATTCGTTGCGCGTGGTCTGGATGAGAATCCGATTACTGAAGCGGAGCTCACGAGGGTTTTGGAAAAAGTACGCGAGCGCACAGTGAACGCGGACGAGGATTTGATGTCGAAGATCAAGGTCGCAGGACTAATTTCCCTGAGGAAGAACGCCTGGGTTTTGTGAAAGCAAGGATCTGGCATAACGCGAAGTGTGGAAGGCTTGTCTGGCACACACGGTTGGCGGAGAGGGACAGTGTCTTGTATCATAAGAACATCAGATAGTCTGCTGCTGCAATTCTTCTCCGCAGCCAATGTACTATCATGTGTCAATATTGTAGCCGCATCTTCGCGCCAGTGTGCTTGACCCTGACCCTGCGCCCAACGCCAAGCCTTCATCGTTTGCTCCTGCCCATTGTGTTGAATCCCAACACCTCGACGCGTAGGATTATCTCACACAACACCAATCTCTCGCGCAATCATGCACCACAACAAGATGGCATCAGCTACATTTGTAGTTGAAGACGTATCTGCGCAGCTTCCAAATGACGTCTACCAAGAGCAATTCGACTTCACTGAGCTCATCCGAGATGTCGTTGATTCTGTCGATAGTCAGACCCCGGACAGCACGGTACAAGCCCAGGTCCAGTTGCTCCTCGCCCTTGTCGGTAGAGATCTACTGAAACTTCACGCGCTCGTCAATGTCGTCAACGCTAAGATTGTGAGTCAATCGAGCTGGGCCACAGTAGGCGTAAAGCTCTACAGGTAAGGTATTCCCCACAATGCAGCAAGGTCCCGGCTAATCAGGTTATGCCAGGGCTTTGTTCGACACAATCGATCCGGATCTGGAGCTCGAAGTCGTCAACGGCAAAAGTATCGTGGGTGCCGACATCGCGGGCAAGTACATCCTCGAGGCTGCTGGGGAGTTCATCGCTCGGCCGATCTGGGAACCCGCATCCGTCAACGTACTAGATTTCTCGCTCAGCCTCCTCAGAGCCTTTTCTGTCGGACAACGCGGATCGGCAATAGCGGTGAACGTGGGTTGCGGCCTGTTGGAGAAGATGGCCATCTCTCTCTACCTGCCCTTCCACAACAATTACGACACGTTCTTTCCGTTCGCGTACAAAGCTATTCCACTGCTCGACACCGCCGATGAGAACATGAAGTCCAGTCGTGTTACCGATATTCTGATGGCTTTGAAGAAGGAAAACTACGAGAGAACGGATCAAGAGAAGGCCCTGATCAAGCACATGTGCGACATACTCGGCAGGTCTGACTTGTATCAACAACACACAGAGTCAGAGTATACCTGTACCTGGGAAGATACCAACTCTGATGCGGCCGAGGACACAGTCCCTGCCAAGGCCGAGTATGTATACGGCAGGGGTCGATTCAGCGTCATTCCGCCTGAGGAACTTGACCAGGCAGTTGAAACTAGCTCGAAGCTAGTTACCACAACACAGGATTGGGAATTGCCAGCTATCGAACGGCTGCTCAAGAGCATCTCCGAAGCCATGAAGATTGGCGCACCAACCTGGGTACAGACCATTACGCTCGACATGATAGAGATCATGGTCAAGTCGGACTATCTCTTCTTGCACAAGAATATGCAGATACTGGTCGGCTTCATCTTTCCTGTTGCACCGGCGCTTGACGCTATGGCTAACAATCATTATTGTGAGCGATTGACGACACTGTTCGATGCGCTTAGCACCCACAACGGTGTACAGACCGTCCAGGATCACGATACCATCGAAGATATTCGCCGAAAGTTGGGTAGAGGCGTGCACAGTGCAGCAACACAGCCCATAGGCGATATGCTCGAAGAGGATGACCTCCTAGGTGCTATCTCCAAGCTCGAGATCGATTGATTTCTTCGTGCGAAAACGTGGTTTCGGATTGTCTTGGCCAGTCCGTTCGACATATAAAGGGTCGGCAAGAAAGACGTGACAGGCGTGGGTGTAGTCGGGTCACAGGCGCTTGCTGTCCTTCGTTGACGAGGAGGTTGGGTTTAGTCGGGACTAAAGGGGATCGGCAAACTTCTAGCGGATTACGTCAGATGGTCAATGCATGTCGCGCACCTTACGCGTGCCCACAATCCCATCGCGCATTGCCAGCTCCAACACCGTGATCTTTAAGCGGTCTGGACTGCACCTCATCGCATGCACACTTCACTCATGACGACATGCGTACCCACAAACTGAGCTCACTAGTGGACGAATTGAGCGGATGAGTACGGATCCTCTGCCGAAACGAGCCGCCACGCTATGACGATGATCATCCACCCTGCTGCAATTTCGATAAACATCTTTTGACAACCCATTTCTCCGGGGAACCGTATCAGTACCACCTGCGCATACCATACTGTCCATCATCTGTATCGACCGAGCCTCATCATCCGTCTTGAGTTTAGCGACATCCCCTAATCACCTGCGCAACTAGCTGCAGCTGTCTCCATTATGACGGAACAAGAAACCAAGAAAGGCGGCTTACGTGCCATGTTTGGCATGCGATCAGGGAAACAACCAAAAGAGCCGGCTACGCGGAAGAAACTTTCCAAGAAGGGATCACGAAGCGATATGCTCGGAAAGCTTGACTCAACCACCAACGTAGCGAACCCCAACCGCCAAGACTCTGGTAGCTTTACAAACGAGAGAACCGATCTCTCAGACAACAGTTTTGGCTTACCTACCAATGAAGACATCACTGGCCTCGCGCCGCATGCGTTGCGTGATCATCCATATGCTGCTGTTAATGCTCTCATGGATACCAGCAACGCCTACCTACAACCTGGGCAACAAGCGGCCGATTACCGCCGCAACTCAGAAGGACAACCACAGTATGCCGCGCCTTTGTATCAACCACACAGCTCGAGATCTGCATCAATACCGCAGTCGGGCAATGAGCAGACCCTACCATACGCGCCATCGAGATCGCAGCCATCAAAGCTGACCAAGTCTCATCGCGCGCCTTCAAAGCATGTCAAGGCCGATGACATTCTTGACAAAGATACCGGAGAAAGAAAGGATCTGACAGACATGATGCATGCTTTCACATACATTGATGGTGTTGACACGATTGAGGAAGAACGAGACGATGTATCTTTACTCTATGATCCTACGAAGCCCGACGGAACAGCATTACTCGGCAGCGCATCGCCTGAAGTATGGCTTCATGTTGCGGACTTCCTATCACCACTCGAAGTTGCCAACCTATCCTCTACATGCCGCACCATGTACGCTCGACTAGGTAGACACCCCTACAAATTGCTCATGGATCCGCTCCATCGGCCGCAACGGCTCGACTTTCTACTTTCCATGGACCACAAGATGCCACGCCATCTTTTCTGTTTTCCATGCGCACAGTGGCATTTGCGCATCCAGCCTGGTATGGAGACAATGAAACCTCCCAATGTTCTCAATCCACTCTTTGAGTGCCCCAATCGAACCAACGTTCACATTCCTCCACCAAGGCTCCGTATCAGCGAAGGTCGCACATTACCGTTCGCATTTGCGCAATTAGCCCGACGCCATTGGGCCTACGGCGCAGAATACGGCATTCCTCATCAGTCGCTAGGCCGCCGTTGGAAAGACACCTATTCGACCTGGAGGCATGATTCTACCTATCACATTACCGACAAAGGTCATCTATTGATGCGTATCCGATCGCAACAGTACGTAGAAGGGGGGATGACAGATGCAGCAAAGCGTATGCTTTTGTTCAGCCGTGGAGACTTCACGCCCTACTTCAGCGTTTGCGCACATTGGAAGCACGGGCTGTTGACATCGATACCTAAATGTGCATTATCGCATATTCCTCATATCCACGAATCTGAAACGACCGCTCTTGACAAGTTCCGCGAACGCAGCTTAGGAAAGAAGGCCGTTGGCATGGTCAATCTCTGTTCCATATGCCGACCGATGCGCCGCTGTCCCAGATGCCCGACTGAATACCTGTTCGAACTCAAACTTGTTGAAGACAAGAGCGTGCGCGGCAACGGCCCTGAGCGCTTCAAGCAGGCTCTCATCGTAACGCGATGGAGTGATCTAGGCCCTGCGCGCAGTCCCGAGGACCCCGAATGGAGTGCTATCACTGGTGACAACCAGGAATACGATAGCTTCAAGGAGATCGGACGAAGAGCTGTTAGTGGTGTGTTTGAGAGTGCGTTCACGGACACAATACCCGGGCAGCGGATTATGAGTATGAATCCTATGGACGTAAAGGCAAACGAAGAGAGCGGAGACTGGTATTAGTCGACATTCATGTAATGATTAATGTACGCGATAGCACGGGGATATCCGGCCGAACCGTATAGCGCCTTAGCGAGGTCAGGATAGTGCATTGTGTATGTTTTCATTCGATTTCTATCAAGCCCAGATCCTATTTACCTCCTACGTTGAGTCAACGCTGCTATGTTCGTGAAATCTCGGACAGGCCTAGCATCCACAAGATACTTTTAGGCCGCAGAATGGGTAGCGATGCGCTCGTGTAGGCCTATGAATAGGTTGTCAGTTCACTATTCAATAGAGAGTTTGGGTGATGTATACCTCAAGTCCTACCATTGTCCTCCTTTTGGCGCAGTGCCAGAGTGATGTTGTCGGCAAGGGCACCCGCATGACGAGGGGTCTTGCTCTTGTCCTTGGTGACCCTGCCTGATGTGACGCCATCCTTGGACTTGAGATGAGCGGCCCGCTCTCGGAGCATAGTGGCCGTGGCGCTGTCTCGCTCCTTTGTCACCACCTCGACTTCCTCACGCAAGTCCTTGTTCTCGCAATGCAACTCCACATTGTCCCACTTCAGCCCCCGGATAGTCATCTGCGACTCCAAAGTGACCTTGTTGACCGTACTCTCCAGCTCCAATATCCTCGCCTTGTCGCGAATCTTGTCATCGTACACTTCGGCATCATCCACCTCTTCATACTCTTCCTCTTCGTCATCATCCCACTGGTTGTTGGTAGCGTCTGGATCACCAGGAGCAATCACCTCGCGCGCCGCTTTGAACTCCTTGAGTTCGCCCTTGTAGTCGTCGCGTTCGGAGGTGACGGTCTCGAGACGCTCTTCCAGGTCCTGATTGGCCAGCTTCGTATCGGCAAGCTGCTGGATGAGGTCCGCGATGATGCTTGCGTCTGTACCCGACATGTTCACGGCGCCTGTATAGGAAGACATGGTGTACTTGGCTCGTGACGGGAGAGTCGCGTCGGGGAGGTAGATATCGCGATGTGTGTTGGGAAGGGAGTGCGGAACTGGTCGGCGTATCGAATTCGCGTATGGGTAGTGTAAGATTGAAGATGAGGACGGTGGGGAGAGAGGAGAGTCGGTTGAAATTGTGCGACTTTAAGAAAGTGAGGGCGCGTTGTTGATTATAGTCACTGCGTCTTTTCGCGATAATTTGCGACGTCACTCAGGTAAACCAAACGGGCTTATCAACAAATGAGACCCCGATACGGAGAGGAGAGACCAATCAAACGCTCAGATACACCGACTACTCACCGTCACCTTTGTTGCCTACGCCTCTGTTTGTTCCACCGACACCGATGGTAATCTGCTCACGCGCCGCTCGAGCCGTGATTAGCTGGCCAGAAACGACACTGTCGAATTCGACTTGACCTCGAATGTGATCTGACCAAGCCGTCACTGCAGCCTATTGATATGTCGGACTCCACGACCAAGTGATACCCAGAACGAGTACGGAACTGTGACTTACCATTGACTATACCAGACGATTATAGAGGGCGTCTGATAGCCGTCGCGTAACCATCTCTTTCACTTATCTCTTCTTTCTAAATCCATTGCCCAAGCACATACGTGTTTACATCCGGCCTTGATCCAGACTCTTGCTTCGCCAGTCATCACTCGAGTGTACATGTGCTACAAGGACTCGCATGCGAACGCAAATCTATCATAATCTTTTCGAATACAATAAGAATTCACTTCTTTCAGTGAAAGGCATCATACCGTGTGAGGAAGGCCGTTGCAGCATACTGGGTCGGATTGCAAGGTCGACTGATATCGCTGGATAGATAGTGAGGGATTCGAAGCACTAAACTATTGAGATTTGCAACGTGATTGTGATCTGACAGCCTCCCCGGTGATTTATATGTTGCATGTGCATCCGCTGTTGATGCGATGTTGTCGTGAAAGAGACATGGGAATCTCAGACTTGCGAGGTTGGAAGACGCGAATCTCGGCATTAAAGTGGAGACCTCGATGCTTAACTCCGAGCTTGTGAGGCGCAGCTTCCTCATACCGCCATCTCGTCTCAGAAACAATAGAGTGCACCTTTGACTCAGACTGCGGTCTGGTCCTGGTTCAGACCCATCCAGCACTACCAACAACTCAACATGTCGTTCCCGCATTGCGCATCTCCGCTGTTCGAGCTTCCACAGGAGCTTCTCGAAATCGTACTCAGCTATCTTCCTCCGTCCCAAGACGTGTCGAACCTTTCTCGTACCTGCAAAGCTCTGCACGCAAAGACCGTAGCGCATCTATACAGCAACATCAGCATGGAATGGCAGGTCGTTCAAGCAACTCGCCCACTGACTGTTGCTGATGTGGATGTCCCACAAGCTCTGCGTCCCAACCTTCTTTTGCAAACGATCTTGGCGAATCCCGCGTACGCGCAATCGATTACCGCTTTGAAACTGCAGAGTACCGAGCTTGAGGATCTTTGGTATTCGTCACTTGTTAATCCACGCAGACGGGAGCCTTTGGCGAAACTGCACCCGGATGTTGCCTCAACTTGGACGAACGCGAAGCAGCGACTGGCCCTGAACGCCGTACGGGATGCAGGGCTGGAGTGGCACCATAGAGAACGCGGAGACCCTTTTGCAGTCGGCGGTTGCTCTTGGTATGAAGCCATCCTGATGTACGATCTGGATGCTACCTTAGCGCTGCTCGTGTGGATTTGTCCCAATCTTGTATCACTCGATCTAGGGTTCCACATCGGCGACGACGTAGTGTACCTCCCTGAGGTCTTGTGGAAGCTGTCCTCTGGTGATGCGGAGTCACAAGCTCTAGGATGTCGCAAACTTCGAAACGTTCATCTCGGCCATGTGCACATCGCTGAGGAGGAGCAACCGAGTGACAGGTGGACTCGGGTCAGATATCTACACCCGCATCTGGATTGGAGGGGGTATTGGGCTCTCTTTTGGTGCCCAGACATCCAGAAGATCGAAATGAACCTGATGGATGAGACTGCACATGCAGGTATTCAGGAAGCAACATCTCTACCTGCCTGCTCAACGTTGACGACACTGAGGCTTGGCGAGTCTTCAGTGAAACCAGACACACTCGCGAAACTGCTGTCGTGCACACCAGCTCTGAGGAGATTGGACTACGAATACTGGGTTCGCGATCGGGCGTTCATCACCGTGGATTGCGCGTCGCTCAGCGCCGCGCTCAACAATGTCAAGAGCAGCTTGGAACATTTGAGATTCTTCTGTCAACTGCATTCGCCGGGGTCCGTTGACGTCTACGGGAAATGCCATTTTCGGGACTACCCCGTTCTCTCCTCCCTCCACGTATCCCCTGCCGTGATACTGGGCGGTGAGGCTTCTCTTTGGCCCCGAATCGATGAAGTCATGCCATCGAGTTTGGAGGAGCTGTGCTTTGTTGACGACGATCTCCTCGAGTTCTGGAGCCCGAAGGAATTGATACCGTTGCTAGACGACTTTTTCCAGGGCGATTGGAGAGCTAGAACACCGAAGCTGCAACGCGTGTACGCGACGGACAACAAGTCTTGGTTGGATGCGTATGGAACAGAATATCTGCGGATGTTGAGCAAAGAAAATGGATTAAAAAATGGTGAATAACAACAGAGCAAGAGAGTGAAGCTCTCAAATTTACAACATTGCGACTGTCGGGGATTCTGGCACGAGAACTCCGAAGCCGAGACAATACGAAATGTCCAAGCGGCTCAGTCGGTGCGAAACGTTCCGGCGTGTACCGACATCACGATGATGGCGATGATGTTCGTGCTGCATCGGGAGCTGGACCCTGAGATCGCGTATTATGGGATGACGTCTTCGATTGACCACAGACGCGACGCGCGATCGTACAAAGACAATGGCATACCACGACTTATTGCTGAATCTCATCCTACATCTACAATCCCATCTCGCTGCATCGCATTCGTACACGTGACCCTACGTGCATTCCCACTACAGCCTCGAACTCCATCACAGCCTCCAGTATGGGCAACACACAATCTACGGTGCGCTACCTTGCGCCGGCATCCTTCATCTACGACTTTGCTCTGCAACAATATGGCATCTTTTCGTCGCCCAACATGATGGATATCCACAACCGGAATCTTGCCGCTTTCAGCCCGTACCCTTACTTCATTGGCGCATTCTTCTTCCCACAGCAAATCTTCCAGCTGGTCTGGTTGTGGAAGCTATGGAAGCAAGACGGTAATGCGCAAGAATGCGCGATGATGAACAAGTTTGCTTGGGTTTACAGTCTGGGCAACTTTTGCATTGGAAGTACGTATTATTGAAGTATATCGTGGTAATGTAGGATGTATACTGACGTATGCGACAGCTTGGATGTTCTTCTGGAACTCGAACAACCTGGAGACATCGAACATCTTCGTCATCATCAACACACTGGCACAAGTCGGTTACATCGCTACGGCGCTTGAGCCGCTCGACACGCGATCAACACCCAACCTCCTCACCCACATTGTCTCGAAGACATTCGCGGGTATCGGTGTACTGGATCTCCTTCACAACACATCTGCAGCCTACTTTGTAGGTGTAGAGCCCAGTTCGCTGGTGCAGGTGGCTACCGGTGTCGGTTTCGCTGCGGCGGCCAGTATGAGCGACTGGATCTTCGGCGGCTGCTTGGTATACGACCTCGTTGCATTGACTGTCGGACAGGAAGGCAACTGGTCGAGGCTGCTAGGAGGATACGCGGCCATGACAGCGGGTATTGTGGCTTTCAGGAACTTCTTCTAGTAGGTACACTCGGCCGTCGCATGCTGAGTCGTGCTGACGGATCGCAGTCCAAGGTGGAAGGCGCAGAAGGAGGGAAGGTACGCCAGGGTCGAGAATGGCGGTGACGTGGTTTAGATATTGGGGGTTGCAGGTCGCGATACTTACCTTGATGCGGACATCTCAGTGGTGTGCACGTTGATTACTTCCTATAATGATAATTAAACTTCGTATCACTCTGCGGTCTCGGTAACACTCCAATCTGGTTCGCTCTTATCGATATGCAGGTTCCAGAAGCTCGAGACACCACGATGCCTCAAGTCCAGCCTCACTCATGGTGGGTTTCTGTTACGTTTCGAGGCAGATCTTAGTGCAGTGTATTAGTTGAGGCTTGGAGGCCGAAGCGACGGACCCATCCGATGGCGGAGAGGAGGGGCAGATAGGCATGCATCGTCATTACAGCTGGCGCGCTATAGGCCGACCCCATATTGAAGTTGCTCGATCTGTGATGTGCGTAGATCTGGCGACGGCAGATTGGTGCTGCGAGATCCAGCCGGCGTCCCTTCCGCGTGACGTGCCAGCCTGATGGTCGCCGCCAAGGCCCGCGAACGGCGGCAAGCAGCTCGGAGACATGTGCGCTAGCATGATGCGCGTGCGCGCCCTTGCCCTCGAGATAAGCAACTCTTATCAATCACTCATAGCATCCCACCCGCCCAAGTCACACTGCTCCCGTCATGGCAGGCCTAGCCGCAACGGATACCGCTTGGCCTAGCATCGGTCATGCGAGCCCGCCGGGGGATCCTCTAGCATGTGGAGATGCTTCCTTTTGGGAGCCCGCGGTTGGCTGGCGTGGATGACTGTTGACGGCCGTGAGCTGCTGTATGTCTTCTGTCACACTGCTCTGACGTCTCGTGTCTTTTCTTCTACTCTTCCTCTTCCATTGCCTGCATCCCGCGCTTCTCGTGGCTGTCATAACTTCCACTTCTGCACGCCGAGTCTTATCAGCAACTGACCGGTTCAACGACGTCACAGCGCCGAGCTTTGGAACAGCGACTCTCACGCGACAACTTATACATATCTCTTGAAGGGCGGTCGCTCGGCCTGCAGTTCAATTCTGATACCGACGTTACGCGTGCGTCGTATACGAGGTTGCATCCACGCCTCTGTGGCTGTACCAAGAGCCCGAACCAGCGCCTGACCACCCAGCCTGCGCTACCGAGACGTGAGAAAGAAGCAAGAAGCATCCGGAACACACGCGCGTTGGAGTTCCGGTTGACTCTCTACGGCAGTAACAGTCCAGAAAGCTGCGTCGTTCCTTCCCATCGAACCCACGAATTCGACCTATGGCACCATGCCTCCATACCTATCCCCCCTACATATAGCCAAACCCACGTTACCACCGACTTGCGAACCTGCGAACGAGTTCCTCTATCATCTGTCGGCGGCATTTCACACCTGCGTACCTACGAACCTCGCGCTCGTCTCGACATTGCTCGGCACGTGCAGCATCATATCATGGCTGTTCGCACAGCTACCACAAATATACAAGAACCATAAGCTGAAGTCAACATCTGGACTGAGCGCGTTCTTCTTGACGGAATGGCTCCTGGGTGATGTGACGAACCTGCTGGGCTGCCTGTTCACTGGACAAGCGTCATGGCAAGTCATAATCGCAGGCTATTACGTCTTCGTTGACTGCTGCCTGTGTGGTCAGTGGGTGTGGTACGAGCTGCTGCACCATGGACGGCCGCTGAGGCCGATCTGGGGCCGATGGAGCAGCTCAGCTGGCAGTGGTTCTGGCGCCGGAGGCTCTGCCATGCATCAGGTTCTGGATGGGATGAGCATAGGCGGTACGAACAACGCGTCTAGCCCGCCAAAGTCACCACAAGATTCAAGCGATAGAAAGAACATTACACAGGATAGCGCGGCCAAAGACGTACCGCGCTCGAACGCGAAGGAAACCTTTAGGATACCCAACTTTGCGCGCTCGCCCATGCCTACAAAGGAATCATGGCAAAGTACATCTCCGTCAGGCGCATCACCCAACCCCAAGGTGCGGATAGCAGCCTCGAGCTCGCCTATGCCCTCGCCCAAGACCGTCCTATACATCACTCTCATGATCGCCGTACTCGCCAACCCTACCACCGCTACGCCGATAAGCCCCTTCGCGCCAGGCCTCGCCCGCGCTCGCAGCCTTTCCGCGTACACGACTACCGCGACCAGCTCGCCCAGTGCCTCGGAAACCGCCGGCAAAGTCTTCTCATGGATGAGCACATTCCTATACCTCGGATCGCGCCTCCCCCAACTCTACATGAACCAGGTCCGCAAATCGACAGCCGGTCTGTCTCCCACCCTCTTCGCGGCCGCCTTCTTCGGCAACCTCTTCTACTCCACTTCCCTCCTCACAAACCCTTGCGCATGGTACGACTACGCGCCAGGCGAAGGATCCGGCTGGGTAGACCCCCAAGGCAGCGTAAGAGAAGACTGGGTCCTACGCGCCGCACCCTTTTTCCTCGGCGCAGCAGGCGTACTCCTCATGGACGCAGCAGTCGGTCTACAATTCTGGCATTTCGGGGACGCCACACCACGAGGCCGATCGCCAACGCCCCGCGACGACGAAGTCATCATCACCGTCGACGACCACGGTAAGCTGGTGCGCAGGAGTATGCATTGGCGCCGTGTGAGCGGGTGGATGAGGGGCTGGGCTCCGGCTGTCAGTGTAGCTGCTACGCCGAATGTGAGCCGTGCGAATACGCCGATGAATTCTCCGAGGGATACGAGTCCGGCGAGTACGGCTGGAAGTAGTTCGAGCAAGAGCATTCCCATCAAGGGGAGGGGTAGCGCGTTGGATGAGGCGAGGGCACTTCTAGGGACGAGCAGACATGCGAGTCCGAGGAGTTATGGCGCTGTGGGTAGTCCTAGGTAGTGAGGATCGTTGCATTTACGATGCTTGTAGCAATGACGGGCTGATCATACTCTCGAATGCGTGGCATTTTGCATTTACGACTGGCGTTTTGGGAACATGGCCTATAGCCTATACATATTAGCTTACGAAATGATCATTATTCTTACCATGAAAACACCCTGATTGAAAGGCGACTTGCAAAACAATCACCGAGCTAACACGAAGCCAGTCTTCAGACAGATGGTAGAGAACAATAGTTGTAACGTAGTAATACTGCAGTTGATCTTCCGCTTTCTCATAAAAGTTCCTATCTATCTACGATTGTCCAAAGAAAGCAACCAAGTCTAACCCGCCTCTGACTCTGGCAAAAGGGAAAAAAGAGCACCAAAACGCCGAGCTCGACTAGCAACAAGAACATGTGACCAGACCGAAAACCCGAAGAGCCGCCCTACTGCTGCGAGGTATCACACCCTTATACAAAACGTGACGAGTAATCGTACAGAAGAAGCCGGGAGGTGTGTGTGTGTGTGTGTGTATGGTGTACATAGGCAACGCCGTGGATGAGCGCTTGCCCTTCAGGAAGTTCGAACTTTTAGGGAATCTCTAGAAAAGGATGGGGAGGGAGTAACGCCATTTGGAGGGAAAGGCGTTTAGACACGCGAGACATCGCGACCGAAGCACTTGGCCTTGGCCCAGTCGAGCATGACCAATATCCTGTTGCGGGTGCTGAAGCACATGCTGAGGTAGGCGGAGCGCCAGAAGATGTAGGTGATGGTACCGCCGGAAGCGATGTTGCCGGAGAACCACGAGATGTCGGCAACGGCCTTCTCGGAACCAATGTAGGCGAGCGAACCCTGGTGAGAGTACTCGAAGGGACCGATGGATTTGATCCTCCTCAGCCTCTGCTGCAGAGCCTTGATCTCGCCGAAGACCTTGTCACGGGCCTCCTTGCCGGGTGCCTTCTCCTGGGCGACGGAGAGCTCAGCAAGCTCACCCTCAATCTCGGAGGTCTTGGCCATGTTGTTGAACATGCGGGCGAGGAAAGCACCCTCCTGAGCAGCGACCTGAGCAGTGGGAGCGTAGTTGGCAACAGCGCAGTCACCGACGGCCCAGACATTCTCAGTACCCTTGACGACCAGGTATTCGTTTACGGCGAGACCGCGGCGGGAGTCCTTCTGTGCGGGGATCTGGTTGATGAGGTCCTTGACGATGGGTCGGAGAGCGTTACCGGTGGCCCAGACGAGGAGACCGTAGGGGATCTTCTCGAGCTGCTTCTTGCCGTCGGGGCCAGTCGACTCAGCCTCGATGAACTTGGGTGTGACGTTCTTGACCATGGTCTTTGTGCGGATGGTGATGGTCTCCTCCTTGAAGGTCTTTTCGGTGTAGTCGATGAGCTGCTTGGAGAACATGGGCAGGACGTTGGGGAGGGCCTCGACGAGGGTGACGTGGAAGTTATCCTGGATCTCGGGAAGCCACTTCTTCAGGTCGGAGTGGAAGAAGTCTTGGAGTTCACCGGCGAACTCGACACCGGTAGGGCCACCTCCGACAACGACCATGTGTAGCAGGCGCTTCTTCTCCTCATCAGACTGATCCTTGAAGGTAGCAGTCTCGCAGCAGTCCATGATGCGGTTTCGGATGCGCTGGGCGTCGCCAACCTCTTTCAGGAAGAGACCGTTTTCCTTAACACCGGGGATACCTGTTCCATGTTAGCTGAGTTCGGGTGGGAATGGGCGGATGACGCACCGAAAGTGGCGTTCTCAGCACCAACACCAACGACGAGCATGTCAAAGGGCACCTCGGTCTGGGAGACGTCGCCCTTGATGTCGGAGTCGTCGCTGATGTAGACGACCTTCTTCTCGTAGTCGATCTTGGTGGCCTCGGCTTCGTAGTATTTGACCTGGGCCTTCTTGTGGCGCAAGAAGTTGCGGATGGGCTCCATGATGGAGCGGTGCTCGATGGTGCCGACGGTGCATGAGGGCAGGAGGGGGGTGAAGAGGAAGTAGTTGCGCGGGGAGACGACGATGACATTGTAGTTTTCCGTGTCGAGCTTCTTCAGCAGGGAGACGGAGCCCCAGCCGGTACCTGTCGCGTGTCAGATGCATCTATGCGTGCTGAGTCATTCGTCGCTACTCACCGAGGACGACGAGCGTCTTCTTGCTTGGGTCAGGCGGCGGCTGGTCGGCGGGGTTGCGAGTCTCGTAGATGCCGTATCCGACGTACCCCAGGCCGGCGATGGCGGAGAGGTACGTGAGGCGCCAGGTCCAGCGCAGGAGGCGGAACCTCTTGGCCTTGGGCTTGGGCGCGCTGCTCGACTGCTGGCGGACAGACTGGCGGAGAGCAATCTGGCACTGCGTGGGCCGAGACGTCCATTGCGCTCTGTTGGCGATAAGCGACGGGCGCTGGGTGGTGAAGGTCCTGCGTCCAGCCAGCTGAACCTGCGAGAGCACATTGGCAGCGGCGAGCGGCCTCATGGTGGGTGCCATTGCAATGGTGGAAGCTGCGGGAGAGCTTCACGGAGTCAATGGCTGGGTGCGGGTGGTAGGGAGGCGAGCGAAGGGATGGTGAGGATGTCTTGTCGGTGCGCGGGAGTCAACTTTTTCTTAGCGATGACGAACACCCACCCTACCAAGACGCCTCGCAGGGGTCTTTGCTTCTGCGCCGAAAGATAAGCCTTGTTCCAATTAAAGCCCGCCCTGCCCTGCCCGCGCCCACACGCGAATTATTTCGAGCGCCAGGACAGCTACCATTAGTTCTCGAGGCCGATCACCCGCTACTCCCACGCTTTCGTTGGGATTGTGCTGATGCCATTGTGGCTGCACCCAAACCTTCACCTCCACGTCCAGTCATACACATCATCACATAGAGAACAAAATGCCTCATTGAATTCTCCATCCCTTTCGCCCCCATTGTTCAGCTCAACAAGTTATGCCTCGCCATTCCTCGGCTCGGCACCGACTCCGGTGGCCAGCCATGGGCATGCACTTTTGCAGTGAGCACCCGCGTCCGGTACCGCGGAGGCACACATGGTGGCTTCAAGTGCCTTTTAGCCGAGCCGCATGTCCCTGAGCCTCAGCGACCTGCATACTGGACTCGTAGACCGACGGGATTCCTGGTTTTGCGGACCCGCCTGCCCAGGGTTGTGGTAAATAGTCATCATCCTACATCGCCCGAAACGACACGCGCCACCCGTGCACCCTATGGATGACTCAAATACAGGATCTGGCATGATGTGAAACGAGGGATATCTAAATTCGTGTCTTGATATTTGCCATCTCAATGCTGGACACGACCATCCGTTCCTGCCTTACGAAATGTTGAGTACTACCTAAGCTGCTTGTGGACTTGGCAGAAGCTACTCAGCCAGCATGAGACCTCACTAAATCTATCTTGAGATTCTAGTGCTCCGTTACACATATACATAATATGCACTTAGCTGCATGCTCTAATCGGTCTCGCTAATCGGTTATACCGGCCTTGCTCAACACTGTGCCCCTCTAAGCATGTAACGACATTAGACCGTCACTACGCTCTGTAACAAAATGTGTTGTCTTGTCAGTATTGATCTTGGGACCGAAAGAATGTCGTTCTGGATCGCGAGGAGTAAGCTCAATCTACAAGAGACGACCTTGGAATGATGATGACATACATTCCCCCCCGCTCACTTGCTTATCGATAGACATCCCCCTCACCTAGTAGTCCACCACACAACAGTACAACGATACTCATCTCTCTAGACTTTGCAGTACCCAGAAACTACCCGTGAATCTAATTTCATTCCTGTATCCAAACACTAAAACCTACGTAAACCATGCCCCACGCAACCGCAACCGTAAACGGCATCCTAGTAGCCGAGACCGACTCCTACGAAGTCGTCGACGGAAACATCTACGTAACCAGCCCTTCTCCTTTTCTTGCCCATCATAAAGCCCCTTCAATCCATCTGATTCATACCAGTTCCCGCCCGACACCATCAAGAGCAACCACTTCAGCCCGACTTCAACTAAAACGCACTGCCCATATAAGGGAGACGCAAGCTACTACACCGTCACAGCCAACAAGACGGAAGTAAAAGATGCAGCGTGGTACTACCCTGAGCCATTGGAAAGCATGAACAAGATCAAGGGGTATGTTGCTTTCTACAAGGGAAAAGCTGAGGTGAAGAGTGAGTGAAGAGAAGGATACTTGGGGGCATTGCAGGTTAAGTGTAAATCTGGGTATATTCAGGATCAATTGAACTCCCAAGAAACATAATACAAATGTTCCTGTCTAATAACGCCGATAAAATGCTCATCATCATAAGGTCCGGGCTTGACGTTTCCGAGATCATGCATCAACAGCCATCATCATCGTGTCGTCGCCATCGATGCCTACAGCCGGCGGTTCGATCATGACACCCCGTCCCCTTCCTTGAAGCAATTCCCTCCGTACCTCTGCGCTAATGCTCCTGTGACCTCTTGTGAGCAACAAGTCGAGCAGCGCCTCTCGTTGGTCCTCGGTGATGTCGTTCCTGTATCTTTGCGCAAAGGCAAGCAAGCATTGATGCCAGATGACGGGCAATTTGCCGGTGTTGCCGAGGTCGCCGGCTACAGACTCGGTGTCCATGGCGTCGGCACTGCTGGCACCTACACCGCGGAAGCGCAGGAAGTGGAAGACGAGCGCGTCGATGACCTTGAAGGGGAGGGCGTACTTCTTCTCGAGAAGGGTCTTGATGAAGATGTTGCAGGGGCCGGCGGCATCAGGGTCGGATGACATTTGCTCGGCGGCGATCTCACACAGACGGTGGAGGGCGGCTGCGGAGTGTAGGACGGGCACGGAGACCTTGGCTACAACGGATGCCACGATCGTGGCGTCACGCTGGGTGCAGGTGACGTCTGTGAGCATGGGGAAAACGACACCCTTGAAGAAGGCACTGGGCTTGTAGAGCGCCTTCTTCAGCGCATTGTACAGATGCACATTGAGCTTGTGTGTCTCTCGAATGTTCTGTTGTACCAAAGGTAGCAGTATGGTATTGAGGAAGGTCTGCGCTGTTCGCGGGTCTCTGGAGATGAAGATTCGGGTCGCAGCGAAGGTCGCGTTGGGTGTCCAGTCGTCAGGACGTGTGATAGCGACGAGGGTTTCCCAGGCGGGGATTGTGGGCAGGATCTTGAAGGGCTTGGGCAGCTTGCCGCTCTTGTAACGGCTGAGAATTAATCCAATCTTTGAGTACACTGTGCAGGCTTAGTAAAGTTATGAGACTATGCAGTGAGGATGCTGTACCTTCGACGACCTTTGCTGGTAGTTCGATTGCGTCTTCTGGAGCACCACCGCCTTGAATCTCTGGTTGCTGTACTTCGCCTCCGGCTTCATGCGCAGCGATCTTCTCGAGGATGAGCGCTGCCAGGTCTGTGCCGGGTCCTGATTGCTGCGCTTCCTGACCAGGCCATACGATGGGGTTGTCGTCTGTTGGTATGAACTTGTTCCATGCTGCCAAGTCGTTCGCATCAATCTCGACCTCTTCCACCTCCTCGTCATCCTCGCCCCATGCTTCATCGTCATCTTCGCCTTGAATCAGATCCTCTCCTGGCATATCATCCTCGCCCATGCGTGTCTCGAAGTCAAAGGCAGGGTTGGCTTCTTGCGGTCGCCGGACCTTGTTCTCCCTCGCATCCTCCTCTTCAAGCTCTCTTCCAATTTCCAAGATTTTGCGCGAGCTCTTGGAGTCTACGTATTTCTGCTCGTCGTCTTCTTTGTCGCTCTTGTTTCGCTTTTGTCGCTTCGGCGCCTTGTTCTTCCACGGGTCGGAGGGCGCATATTCTTCGGCTAGAGGGTTGTGTCGCTGATCGCGCACACCAGGCGATTTGGGTGCTTTCGGCATGGCGGGTATGTGGTCGCGAGCAGAGGATCAGAAGAGGCGCAATTTCTTCTTCTGAAGATTTAGTGGAGTCGTGGTTGTATCACAGACGTTTGTTCAAGTTGGCGGCAGTGAGTAGTAAAAGTTCGAGAACGGGATAAATTTTGGTGGGGTCTGCCTAGCGCCGCAACTTGCATGTCCAGGGTCGTGCCTTCCAACATAGCTACAAGCAGCTGTCGCGCTTTCCACTCCAGCTACATCAACCCTCAGCATGGCCGACTCACACCCCCCTTCGCGTTCCAATACGCCCACACTCGTGCCTCCAATGCGGCGGCCACTCGAAGGAGACAATGCGCCCGCCGTCTCGTCTCCGCTCAACCCCAACCCCGATGCGGCAGCGCGTGCCAGACCGAAAGCTCCTGCGCGCGAGCAGAGAGAGAAGCGCGAGACGATCAAGAAACGCGAAGCTTCAGCGTCGACGCGCCAGGTCACTCCGAGCGCAAAGTCCAGCAAGAAAGAGCGACCCTCAGCGGACTCACCCATGCGATATTCGATCCCCGAGCCCAGACCGTCCGACTATGAAGCGCCAAAAGACAGCACGCTGGTGTCACATGAGCCGAACCCCATGTACGCGCCTGATGGCGTCACCGAACTGAAGAAGCCACACGATATCGCCTGGAACAAGAAGGGCTACAAGTACACCCACTGCGTTGCCGACCCGCTCTTTCGTCACAAGCAATACTACAGACAGAGCGACTCTAAGCCGTACGGACCGCGGATGAGCCATGAGGACTGCGACAGATGGTTTCACTTCGACAACAGCGCGACGATTGTATCGCAAGAGAAGGGCTGGCGCATGGGACGCGGGAACGTAGTCGCGAGAGAGGGCAGGATATACTATGAGGTCAAGGTGCTAAGGGGCATACCCAAAGACGGGCCAAAGGATCCTATCGACCCTAAGACGGGAGAGACGAAACCGGGTCCCCACGTGAGAATGGGTTGGGCAAGGAGAGAAGCGCCATTGGACGGACCCGTGGGCTTCGACGGCTACAGCTACGGCATCACCGACGCGCGCTTCGAGGCGCAACATCGATCGCGCGCCTCGAAGATCTTCAAGCCGCTTCCCAAGAACGCAAAGAGCAAGCACATGAAGGCCAGGCCCCCGCATGGCAAGCCAATGCCTGTTGAATATGTTATAGATCAGCATGTTCAGGAAGGCGATGTGATTGGACTTGAGATTCAGCTGCCGTCGCTCTCAATGCATCGCAAGGTTGTCGAAGGCATCTACAACCCGGCCGTGGACCTAGGAGATGGATTCGATACCGTCAGTAATCAAGACCCATTCGACCGTCCCATCGACATCATCCGCGATCGCATACCCGTGCCCTACAAAGGCAACTTCTACTTCGAGCAGCTCGACTACCAAGTCACAAAGATGGTGGAGGCTTATCACGACCGCGGCCCCGTGCCCAAGATACATCCCTCGCCGAATCACGAAGACGTCAGTGTACGATCGCTACCACACTCGCACATCAAGGTCTACAAGAATGGTGAGGAGGTTGGAATCGCTTTCGAGAACCTCTTAGCCTTCCTCCCTCCTGCTAGTATACCATCAGTCGAAGCTATCAAAGCTGGTGCGCGAACAGGCTTCGACGATGGCATGGTAGGATACCTGCCAGCCATCTCACTGTTCAACGGCGGTGTTGCCCAGGTCAACTTCGGTCCTGACTTCTGGTGTCCGCCCGAAGAGATGGTACAGCAGCGCGAGAAGGATACCCATATGGTCGACGGTGATACAACCGAGCAGCAGATTCCAGATGGCCGTAAACTGCGGGCTATTGGCGAACGATACAAGGAGCAGATTGCCGAGGACGTCGTCTGGGACATCATCGACGAGGTCGACTTCTTCTCCCAGGATGGAGGATGGGAATACAAGGGCGAGGCTCCTCAGGACGTGGCAGGCAAATCTACGCCTAGGGCGCGTGGCTTTGCAAACGCGGATGAGAATATCGGTGTTGAGGTGGCCAAGCGATACTAATGAAGAACAAAAGTTGTTCTGGTGTTCAGTGGATTGTAATCATAGCGAGGCGTATAGGTATACCCGTTATCAATGATTGATATGCATCTCTCGACGTTTTTTCCTAGCGTCATCCCCGAATCTCCTGTCCGCTCCGATGCGATCGCCACGTTTGCGCCTTTGGTCCATTCGACAGGTGGCAGCCTTCGTCTACGGCACTACGGCTTCTTGCTGCACCGAATGGCCGCCTAATCGTGTCCCGTATAGCTACAATTTGCTAAGAAATTTCGCGCCCTACGCCCTACGCGGTTCTACAACTGCTCGCATCAATTCCGCCCACAAACATACTCTGCCAAAGAAGGCAATTAGCGCGGAATTAGCGACATCGGACATGCGTTTAAAACTAGCGCAACGTACCCGTTTACGCCAACATTGAATATATACCCACGTATCCTAAGACACTTGTCCACACTTATAAAACATTGTCTGGAGAGGTAACTTGCCCTCCTCTTGTCCTCTTGCACACATTACTCCTCATCCCACTACCCCGCCATGGATTCTTCACAATTCCGCGAAGCGGCCAAAGGAGCCATTGACGAGAGTACGTGCTCCCAATCTTACCTGATAGAAGCGTAAATTGACCTACTCTCAAGTCGCAACCTACTACGACACCCTCGAGGAACGCCCCGTGCTCCCCTCCGTCAAACCAGGCTACCTGCGCCCGTTACTCCCCGCCTCGACACCCGAAGAAGGCGAAGCATGGGAGACGATTCAAGCAGACATCGACCGCGTCATCATGCCAGGCCTAACCCACTGGCAAAGTCCCAAATTCATGGCCTTCTTCCCGTGCAATTCGTCCTTCGAAGCCATGATAGGCGACATGTACAGCGGAGCCTTCAACGCCGCAGCCTTCAACTGGATCTGCTCGCCCGCGATTACAGAGCTAGAAACCGTTGTCATGGACTGGATCGCCAAGCTCATCGCACTACCGAACGACTTCCTCAGTGACGGCGAGGGCGGAGGCATCATCCAAGGCACCGCCAGTGAAGTCGTACTAACCGCCCTCGTTGCCGCCCGCGAACGCCTCATCCGCCGTAAACTAGGCGACATGCCAGAAGGCGAAGAGCGAATGGACAAAGCAGCCGATATCCGGGGAAAGCTCGTAGCGCTGGGTTCCGAACACGCGCATTCGAGTACGCAGAAAGCGGCTGTGATCGCAGGAACCAGATACCGCAGTGTTCCCGCATCCAAGGAATCAAACTACAGCGTCACGGCCTCTGCGCTGCGTAAAACCATCGAAGAGTGCCGCACGAAGGGGCACGAACCGTTTTACTTCACCGTCACGATTGGTAGCACGGGGACGTGCGCTACCGACGACTTGGAGGGTATCGCGGCGCTGGCGAAAGAGTTTCCTGACCTATGGATTCACGTCGATGCCGCGTATGCGGGCTCTGCGCTCGTGTGTCCCGAGTATCAGCATCTGTGCAAGCCGATTGCGGCGTTTGACTCGTTCAACTTTAATCTGCACAAGTGGCTGTTGGTCAACTTTGATTGCTCGGCGTTTTTTGTGAAGAAGAGGAGGGATTTGATGGATACGTATAGTATTACGCCTAGTTACCTGCGCAACCCTCATTCCGAACAGGGTCTTGTTACGGACTACAGGGATTGGCAGATTCCGCTCGGTCGGAGGTTTAGGAGTTTGAAGGTTTGGTTTGTGTTGAGGAGTTATGGGGTTAATGGTCTGAGGCAGTTCATCAGGAAGCACATCAAGTTGGGCGAGTACTTCCATGAGCTCCTGCTTTCGAAGCCGGAGTTGTTCAGCGTAACTACGGAGCCGGCGTTTGGACTCGTCACTTTCCAGGTTAAGCCGAACATGGCTTCGGGTACGGCGAAGGCGGCGAATCAAGCTGACCCGTCGCACGAGGCGCTGCAGAATGACTTCCATACTGATGCCGAGGCGCAGTACAAGGAGATGGTTAATCAGAAGACGAAGGAGGTTTACGAGAAGATCAACAGCAAGGGCGATTTCTTCTTGACAAGCACGGTTGTGGGTGGACTGTATGTTATCAGAGTGGTCAGTGCGACGATCAAGAGTGAGGAGAAGTGGATGAAGCAGATATTTGATGAGTTGGTGGAGGCTGCGGATGGCAAGGGCGATGTAAAGGTAGCTTGAGTGTAGCTTGTGTTAGTCTTATGCTATTATTCCTCCTTCATTCCTTCCACATGCGATACAAAGCCATGGGTTTTATAGAGATTGAAAGGACATATACGCAACGCAGCACCGTATCTACCATGTGCATGCCACCAGGGGGTCTACATGAGCGCTTCGCTACCTACTCTGCGGCCTGGAAGTAGCTTGTAGGTGCCAGGCCTATCCGAGAGTTCACGAACGTGGCAGCGTTGATTCAACGTAGGAGGAAAAGGGGGCATGAAGCCCCAGGGGCTCAAGATAAAATTGCATGATTCGAAGTGGTGTCATCACTCCAACCGTAATATCCGCACTGCATTCCCACCAAGAACATCCTGTGCCTTCTTGTCATCCGTCGAAAAGGCTTTCGAGATAGCCCCATAGTTTGCGTTGACACTGTGCCACTCCTTCGCGTCTTCTTCCAGCGGTGGGAAGAATGGGTGATCAGTGCCTGCTACTGTTAGCCCCTAGTCTCACATATACGTGTAGTGATGCTTACCAAACAATAACCGATCAGACCCAGATGCATCAAGAGCGGCCTTGAGCCCCACTTCCGAGTAAATGACAGCATCCAGGTAGATGTTTGTCTTCAGGATATCCCATACATCCCTCCTGTTCTGTGTCTTGCCATGCTTCTTCAAATGTCCATCGTGCAAGATGCACGACTCAATGCGACCTGCCAGGAACGGTAGTGTACCTCCAGAGTGTGCCAATAGCACACTGAGCTTTGTGAACCGATCCCAGACGCCGCTCAACAGCATCCTGGTCACCGCAATGGTTGTCTCCAAGGGGAAGCCGAGTGCTAGTGGTAGGACGTGTCCGTATTCGCTCGCGCGGGGTCCGTAGACGGATGTAGGTAGGCCGTAGTGCGGATGGAGGAAGATGAGTTGTTGGTGCTTTTCCAGTGCTGCGTAGACGGGATTGAGGTTCTCGTCGTCGAGCCCTTGTCCAAGGCCTGAGGTTCCCATGATGACACCGCGTGCGTATTCGAGTGTGCTTAGTCTCTCGATCTCGGCGGTTATGACTTCTGGCGATGCGGAGAGTGGGAGGGTGCCGAAGAAGTAGAGTCGGCCGGGATACTGCGAGCATTGGTCATTGACATCGTCGTTGATCTTCTTCGCGGCTTCGCCTGCTTCGTCTGCCGGAAGGAAGTCTAGCCACGGGTTTGCTAACGAGATGACGGATTTGTCAATCTTGTGCAGGTCCATGAAAGCTATCTTTTCTTTGATCTCGTAGTATTCAGAGCCAATTGGGCGGCCGCGGGAGGTTGAGGGTGTTGAAGGGTCATCTTCTCCGGGAAGGATGATGAGACGTGCTGATTCTGGTGCATCGGGGAATGTTCGAACGTATGGTACGGTTGTTCTTGAGCGTAGTAGCTCCATGTATTTGGGAGGGTAAACATGGGTGTGGACGTCGACGATCGTCATGCTGGCTGGTGGGGACGCGTTTTACGCGTCAACGTATGAGTGGAAGGTGCTGTGGTGGTGTTTTAACACTTCAAACGCGTTATTGGGAGTGAAAGAGAAGCCAAAGAATTCTCAGGCTATCCCGTCTGACAGACAAGCCGTATCGTGGATGTTTTGACCCTGGTGGGGTAGCTCGAATTGCCCCACTACCGGGCGTCCAGCATCCCACCTTCCCCAAGCGGCAAGAAGCGATGGAGCCGTTGACGGAGATGGCCGCGATGAACATGTGTCACTTTGATATGTCGAAATGTTTTGTTACGTACTGTATTCGGCACGAGTTTAGATGGTCAGTGGAACTGCGGCCGATCAAGCCCATGTCCTCAAGAAGACGTTTGGTGGCTTGTCCCAAGCCTCGAACTCTGCGTCCACATCCCACGGAATGTCTCCTGTACCCTCATCCTTGAACCCCAATCTCCTGTAAACGGGTCTTCCCATAGTGCTTCCCTCTGTTGTGCACTCCAAGTTGCCCCTCTTCTTTGCTTCCTCAAGACCGACCTCCACCAGCTTGGCAGCAATGCCGCGACGCTGGTATGCTGGATCAACAGCACAACAGTCCAATGTGAAGATAGCGGGTGGTGTGCGGCCTGATTTCTCGACCTCTCGCATGTATGCGATACGCCGTTTCCATAGTGAGTTGAACATTTGTGTTGCAAACCGTCGTTTCTGGTCATCGTAATCTGTGAGCGCTTCCTTCATGTCGCCGTAGAACGGGTCGCCATAGCCTTCCACGAACGACAGCTGCTTCCAAATGGCTATTCCAGCAACCCGTCTTTCGCCTTGCTTATCCGGATCAGGCACGGTAGCCTTGAGATAGAGGGCATTGGGTTGTCCGTCTTTGTTGGTGGTGATGGACTGCCATCTCTTCATCATGATCTGAGCTTGCTTCGCCTGACCTTCCTCCGTGTCCCAGCCGGGTGTCATCAGTTGCCATAAGGCATCTTTGGCTTGGTGGCCAAAGGCTTCGGAAAGACAATGCTGCGCTTGCCTAAAGTCTCGTTCTGTCTCGCAAGGTGATACGATGACGTCGTTATTCGCGGTCATATTGGGTAAACAGAAGTGGTGTGAGTGCAGTTGTACTTTACGTGGAGTATGTTGGGGAACACGGCGGATTTATGTCTGGGGTTAGTACACTAGAATCGAATGACTAAAGACCCATAAAACGCCATCGCCTATAAGTCTCGCGGACAACTCTGCTGATGCCTAGTACTTGGCATGGCATCCCAATGTAGTATCGCATCCTAATGAAGAAGACGAGTGTCAGAGTTTAAAGGAAACAGCGTTATAACGCAAGTCCACTATAAGGCTTTGTGAGGCTGGGGGGGCGTGAACGACATGGCGACAAGGCTGCAGGCAATATTATAGAGAAGAGCTAGCAAGGAAGTCTGAATGCAACTATTGAGATGCGCTCAGTGAAGAACCTTGGAAATCGACGCGTGCGCGTGGAGATGCAGGAGGACGCGGAGAGGGTTGGGATGGCAGGCGACGGCTAGCGTGGCGCAAATCAATTAGCAGGGATGACGCGCTCGCGCCTGCGACACGCTTTCGCGTTCTCCCTGGGCGCCTTCCATCTACTCCACCAACAACAAACACACACCCACCAACCCTCCCTTATCACGCGCTTGGGTGTTGTATCTGTTCGTCACATCCTCAAGATGCCAGGAGCCGTCACAAGAGCGCCGGCGAAGCGCGCCCTCGCCGAAACATCCAGCACACGCACCAATGTCCAGCCGTCGCCCCACTCGTCCAAGAAGCTGAAGCTCCAGAACGGCAATGACAAGAGTAGACCGCCAACCAAGACGGTCAATGGCTCCTTCAACTCGAGCCAGGTGGGTCCGAGCCAGTTCGAGGAGACGCTGGAGAAGATGACGCAGGACATGGAGACGCTGAAGAAGGACAACACAGAGAAGGACCAGCAATGGCGGCGGCCTGCCTTGCCCGAGGACTTCAATGAGATGACACAAAACCTTGTCTTCCAACAGATCGAGGCTGAAGAAGGCGTGCTGAACGGCGGAAAAACAACCGTCAAGCTCTTTGGTGTTACAGAGGTAAGAAACGTGCACATGGCATATCGACTTTGACTGACCGCGTATTACAGACTGGCCACTCCGTTCTCATTCACGTCACTGGCTTCCAACATTACTTCTACGTCGCCGCGCCGCTCAACTTCCACAAAGAAGACTGCGAACCGTTCAAGGTCTTCCTCGAGAGCGAATGCCAGAAGAACTTCAACCAACACTCAGCTGTCATCGCGTCGGTACAAATGTGCATGCGAGAGAACATCCTGCGCTTTCAGGGCAACCAGAAGAGTCCATACCTCAAGATCACAGTGACTGATCCGAAAATGATCAATCGCGTGCGGATGATGGTACAAAAGGGTAATGCCAACTACAAGCGCCTCTGGCCGGCCAGAGAAGACGGTATTCTCACATTCGACAACATTGCCTACGTACTGCGCTTTATGATCGATACCAAAGTCGCCGGTATGTGCTGGGTCGAAGTTCCAGCAGGCAAATACAGAATGATCAGCCCCCGCGACCGACACTCCAACTGCCAGATTGAGGCACAGCTACACTACAGCGATTTGATCGCCCACCAATCTGAAGGCGAATGGGCCAAACTCGCCCCCCTACGCATCCTCTCCTTCGATATCGAGTGCGCTGGCCGCAAAGGTGTCTTCCCGGAGGCCAACGTCGACCCCGTCATCCAGATCGCAAACGTCGTTACAAGATACGGAGAGCCAAAACCCTTTGTCAGAAACGTATTCTGTCTAGATACGGTCAGCCCCATCGTTGCGACACAGGTCTTGTCGTTCCAAGATGAGGGCGAGATGCTGATGAAGTGGCGAGATTTCGTAGAAGAGGTCGACCCAGACGTCATCATCGGCTACAACATCAACAACTTCGACTTTCCGTATCTGCTCGACCGCGCAAAACATCTCAAGCTACAGAAGTTCCCGTATTGGTCCCGTCTAAAGACAGTACAGTCCAAGGTAGAGAGCTCGAATTTCTCAAGTAAACAATTAGGAAACCGAGACACGAAGACTACCAACACCAACGGTCGTCTCCAGCTTGACCTGTTACAGCTCATTCAGCGAGACCACCAACTGCGTAGTTACACGCTCAACTCGGTGTGCGCTCACTTCTTGAAAGAGCAGAAGGAGGACGTACACCACAGCATGATCACAGAGCTGTTCAACGGCGACTCCAACTCCCGGCGACGATTGGCTGTATACTGTTTGAAGGATGCCTATCTACCGCAGCGATTGCTCGACAAGCTCATGTGTCTGGTCAACTACACAGAAATGGCTAGGGTTACAGGTGTGCCTTTCAATTACCTTCTGGCCCGTGGACAACAAGTTCGCTTCATCAGCCAGCTCTTCCGTAAAGCCCTCGACCATCAACTCATTGTTCCCGACCTTCCGAACCAAGGCGACAGTAGTGACCAGTACGAAGGTGCGACCGTCATTGAACCCAAGCGCGGCTACTACAAGGAACCTGTCGCGACCCTTGATTTCGCATCGCTATACCCCAGTATCATGCAGGCCCACAACCTGTGCTATACGACCTGGCTCGACAAGCAGACGGTAGAGAAACTCAAGATGAAGAAAGACGAAGACTACATTGTCACACCAAACGGTGACATGTTCTGCACAGCGAAAACCCGGAAGGGGCTCTTGACTGAGATTCTGGAGGAGTTGCTTGGTGCGCGTAAGAGGGCGAAGAAGGAGTTGGCGATCGAGACCGATCCTTTCAAGAAGGCTGTGCTCAACGGTCGTCAATTAGCCTTGAAGGTCAGCGCCAACTCGGTTTACGGTCTGACAGGTGCTACCAACGGAAAGCTACCGTGTCTTGCCATCGCCAGTAGTACCACAAGTTTCGGTCGTCAAATGATTGAAAGGACCAAGGCGGAAGTCGAGGCAAAGTACAACATCGCGAACGGATACACACACGACGCAGAGGTCATCTACGGTGACACAGATTCCGTCATGGTGAAGTTTGGTACGTCCGAACTAGCGGAGGCGATGAAGCTGGGTGAGGAAGCTGCGGACTACGTCTCTTCGAAGTTCGTCAAGCCAATCAAGCTGGAGTTCGAGAAGGTCTACTTCCCCTACTTGCTCATCAACAAGAAGCGTTACGCTGGTCTCTACTGGACGAATCCGCACAAGTGGGACAAGATGGACACGAAGGGTATTGAGACGGTCCGCCGTGATAATTGCCGCCTGGTCCAGACTGTCATCGAAACTTCGTTGCGCATGCTCTTGATCGACCAGGACCCAGAAGGTGCCCAGGAGTAAGTCATTCCGCCATCTTCGCACTGTCGTCTACTAACATCGGATAGATTCGTCAAAGAGACCATTGCGGATCTGCTGCAGAATAAGGTGGACATGTCTAACCTTGTCATCACCAAAGCCCTGACCAAGCAAGAGAACAAGGACGGAACAGGTGGTTACGCCAACAAACAAGCACACGTCGAGCTTGCCGAACGCATGAAGAAGCGCGACGCCGGTTCAGCGCCTGCTTTGGGAGACCGTGTCGCCTACGTCATGATCCGAGCCGCCACCGGTGCGAAGAACTTCGAGAAGTCTGAGGACCCCCTCTTTGTCCTCGAAAACAACTTACCAATCGACACGCGTTACTACTTGGACAACCAACTGGCGAAGCCACTGGGCAGAATCTTCGAGCCTATCCTAGGCGAGAAGAAGGCAGCATCGTTGCTCACTGGTGATCACACGCGTTCCATCACTGTTGCGGCGCCCACGATGGGTGGTTTGATGAAATTCGCCAAGAAGACATCAACATGCATGGGATGCAAGAAGCCACTTACCGCTGCGCATGAGAAGGACGGCGCCGTTTGTGAGAACTGCCGACCTCGTATCGCCGAGCTCTACACCAAGACGCTAGGCAAAGTCAGTGAGCTCGAGGTCCGCTTCTCTCGTCTTTGGACCCAATGCCAGCGATGCCAGGGCAGTGTTCACTGTGAAGTCATCTGCGCATCCAAGGATTGCCCCATTTTCTACATGCGCATGAAGGCGAGGAAGGATGTTGAAGATGCAGGCAAAGAGCTGGTGCGTTTCGACAAGGACGCGGCGCTGTGGTAATCGGTTGGCATCATTCGAATAGCGTGTAATAAGTGTGCGGTGTTTTTTGGCGTTTCGATGGCATGGATATCCGTCTGTATAACTAAGGGGCTCACTGGGCATGTTCGAGATGCGTAGCGATATTAGCATGTATATCTAAATGAACGTTGTTGCAATCATTTGTTGCATTTTTTGTGTCTTGCGGTTGTTCCAGTGAAGACGCTGAAGCGCCTCCGAACTTCCACTATGCCCCTTCTTTCTCCACAAGCCGCCTCTTGTCCGCGACAGTTTAATCACCATCTGATATTCCTTGCACATCGCCACAACACAGCCTCAATGCCTTGAACTTGGAATTACAAGCGCATCAGCGCCACATCCCATCGAAGCCCCTCGCCCCTCCACTACCGAAACGGTCCTGTTCACGCGCTTGCCCCTCGTCCAAATCATACGTCTCGCCGCTCTCCAAGCCCGCAACAAACATCTGGAAACTCCAGAGGAAGGTCTGGAAGAGCAAAATCTCCTTCTGCTGCTCTAGCAGCTTCGCAATGACCTCCTGCATCTCTGGAGAAGTAGTCCTAGTTGCTGCTGCGTACTGTGTCTCGAATGCGGTGTAGGCTACGACGTAGGCGTTGTTTTGGGCGATGTAGAGGTCTTTGAGCATAAGTTGGTGGGCGTGGAGGGTGGTGAGGAGGGTTGGTGTGGGTTTGGCTTCTGGAAGCAGGGGTAGTGAGGGCGTGGTTGGGTACTGGGCTGGAGGAGCTGGTATGCTGTCCTGAAGATTGGACATGATTGTGGCTACCGTTGGGGGGTTTATGCTCGATTGGAATTTGGAACGAGGTTCGAGGAGGTAGCGTGGGTGATTGTTGGAATCATGACAGTGAGTTGAGCTTGAGTAGAGGTCGTGAGTCACGGTGATGTGCGCAGTGAAAGGGCGGGAAATGCAAAATTATCTTCATCGTGCGGCCAAAAGAACTTAGGCAGCCATGTTTATTCTCTGAAACATCGCCATAGAAATGTATGGTCTGCTAGATAGCCTAGGACATAACCTCCTTGGTGGACACTGATACTCGCGAACACCTAAAGCTCTTTATCGATAGGTGCCTGTAGTTGGACGGGTAGTGTTTTCTATCTTTCCGCTAGATGCACCGGAATCCTTTCGTCTTCTTCAATGTCATTGTTCCAGGTTGGAGCGACGGTTGTCCTGCTCCAATGTAGTAGTGACCATGATGTGCTTGTTGTCCGCCGCGAGTGCTTCTTGGCTACTCCGTGTATCATCCCAGTATATGTCGCGCTTGCCACTCTTCTTTCTGCTAGTTGTAACAGTAACAGCACTCATCTTGATGGCGTTTGGATGGTTTGGGTCTGCCCCGGATCGGCTCGGATTTTGTCGAATGTAGCCATGGGTATCGTAGGAGACGTGGGGCGTGTGGGCGCTGCGGTAGAAGATAGCGAAAGCGGGGGCGCAGCCGATGCAAATAGCTATAGACGACTCGATTATGGTCCAAAGAGAGAGCCAAGTTGGACTCGGTGACACTCCGTGCCCAGCCTTTGTACTGATTTGCACAACGCGCAGGGTAGCAAAGGCTATGATGACGAAGCCTGATGCGAACAGTGAAATGATGGCGATCTTCTGTGGGCGTGCCATTTGTAGGTTCCAGACTAGTCGTATCGGTAGGAACATGACTAAAGTTATTAACACTGATCCTTTCTGGAGAAGATCTATCACTTACTCATAAAGTCTGACAAGATATCAACAGCATAGGTCATATAAAGACTTGCAAATTGACCACGGAGAGCTCGAGGGCCCGTACACTGTCCTTTGTTCATCATGTCGCTGAAGTTGGGGCAAGAGGTAAAATAAGAGATGATACAGCCGATCAATGACTAGATGTCGAATTTTAGCAGGAGCAAAGAGCATTCGACGAAATTCACTTACAACGATGCAAAATACGAGGACGGCCCACCAGAGTCTCTTGTACACCCTAGGGAGGCCTTCTAGTAACTTCTTGTACAGTGCTAGTAGGGAAAACTTGACCGACCAAAGTGTAAGCCAGAACCCGTTTGTTGTTACATATAGTAGCCGGAAGTAGAAGATGAGGTCAGCTTCGAACGTCGGCCAGGGCTTCATCGCCTTCATTTTGACTTTGCCAACGGCGAAGACCGTCGGAACCATAAAGAGGTAGCAGATCGATATGGTAAGAAAGAAAGCGTAAGCCAAGTATAGCAAATAGTCTTGCAATTCCATGGCTTTTCGCTTCCACACCTGTATGCCGATACGCGCAAGAACGAGAGCTGAGGGGAGCGCAATCATGGCGTAGGTGATGTGGAAGAACTGAGCCTCAGAGATAATCTCCTTGTACGCAACGACTGTAGAAGACATGGCTACCTCTCTTGCTCAAAAACGAATAAAAAAGATGAAAATTGAATGAGAATAGAGATGACGGCGGTCCATGCAGTCGAGGGAAGTGAGATGAATAAGACCACAGGTCCCAGCACAAATTGAGCATGTTCCTTCAGACTACAATCCATATTTTAACAGTCCGAAATATTCATATTCCTGCGCCTAAGCGATTGCCAACTTCGTGTGGGACTGTTGGAGCAGGTTTCGATGTGAAGTGGCACAGCAACTCATCCATGGTGCATGAAATGTCCCGAGCTGCTGGACACGGCTCGGTGTGGTGTGTAGTTTAGAGACATCCCTTTGGTCAATCGAACCATGTCTTGGGATCGGTTAAATGGCTCGTCTGGGTTCATGATCCTACGTTGGCGATGGCTAGGCATGTAGATTGCACGGGAGTTCGATTGCCTTGTCCATACGTAGAGACGTACTGTTCATGCATACCACGCGCTGGACTGTGCCGAGATGGGCGACTTTTCCTATTCCAAAGCCCTGTGGAAAAGTATGGTGCAAAGAACAAGGTGGTGTACATGGCCAGACTCGCGGTCGGTGTTGCCCCTTGCATTCGCACATGCCGAAGTGGCGTAGCTTGGAAGGCACGGAATTTTGGCGGATGTGGACACGGAAGCCGAGCCGTCCAGGCTAGTCCCGTGGCAGAGCCTTGCCGTGCCTGCCGAGGCGAGGCGGCTTGAGGGGTAACGAGCGGCGTTAGCGTAAGCATCTTAGCCTCACAAACCCAACATTGAACCTCCACGACACCAGTCACCTTTCAACTCCAGTCACCTCCACGTGTGGTATGATAGCACTTACAGGTATATACATCATTCGAATCGCAGTCAGAAATACTTGACATAGTTAAGGTGAGTAGGAGTGAGTAGTCACATCATTCTGCAAAAGAGCGCAATTTGCGTGGGATGCTGCCGTTGGGCGGCGCGGTCGTGCAGGGTCGCCGGATGAGGATTCACATCCATGCAAGTACAGCAGAGTGGTGTTCTACGACCTCGGCCATGCGCACCTTCAGCGATTCCGAACGCCACTCACTCTTGAGTAGAGTTGCAATGACCAGAACTTCCATCCTCTCAGATTTTCCAGTATGTTGACGTCGAGAAGGATAGCGATAGAGTTCTACGTTGCCTACTTGTGAGTGTGTAAGCGAACGATCTTTCAGATCTTCCCTGCAAGATGTTGTCTACACTAATCTCCGGGAGAGATCCAGACGCACGATTAGAACCGGACAGGCAGGTGAGAGTATTGGGTGAATCCTACATGATTTACGTTGCATACCAACTTAGCCTTTCTGAGATTAAACGTAACCAGAAGAGTAGTACTGTCAGCATGGCTGTAAAAGATTTGGTCACAGCATCCGCGGAGCCCTGAAGTCCGCGTACCGCCGAGATGTTATATGCGAGCCGTCAGAAATAAAAGGATGGGGTTCCCTATCTCTGGGTCACTGCCAACCTCGTTGTGGACTCTCCCCTGCAAACGCACGGCAATCTCCGTAACTTCCTGCACGTTGGGTCTTTTTGTTCCACGCGCGCAGTTCTTTTTGTCCAACGCTCCGATCCCCATACCCTGTGCTTCAATTCGGAAGGATGAAATACGCAGTCTCATTTGCCGCCTTGGTGGCAGGCGCTGTGTCACAGGCTACTTTCGAGCCTGCAGACTTCAACGTGACTGAGGCACTTCTCGATAACGGTGTCAATGTCTCGGCTATCCCCGAGCTTGCGCCATTGGCAGAGAGATCACTGCTGAGTGGTTGCTCCATAGCCGTAAGTACTCGTCTATACGATCTTAGTTCAAAGCTGACGAATCGCCAGTGCAACTCTTTGAAGTTAATCTTTGGTGATGACCAAGTTGAAACACGCTCGGAATCTGCCTACAGTGCGTTCGTCGGGGCCTACTGGTCTGCTCAACAAAGACAGCTTTCACCACAGTGCGTCTTCAAGCCCAAGAAAGCTCTGGACATCTCAACCTCTATCCTCCTTGCCCGTCTTACGCAATGTCCCTTTGCAGCCAAGAGCGGAGGTCACTCAGCTGTAGCGGGTGGCTCGAATATCGAGGGTGGCATCACTATAAGCTTCGAGAACATGAGCAAGACAACGGTATCTTCTGACAAGAAGAGTGTCTCATTTGAGCCTGGCCAGACATGGTACGATGTATACACAGCTCTGGAGAAGGACAACGTTACAATCATCGGTGGCAGAGTGAGCAGAATCGGCGCCTATCAGTAAGGCATGTCACTAATTGCAACCAGGTCTCTAGTGTTGGTGTGGGTGGGCTGACTCTTGGTGGAGGTAAGCGCCGAAATACCTCCGACTGCCAATCAACTTGCACTGACACTTAAACTCAGGCATCTCTTACTTCTCCAGCGAGTATGGTTTAGCATGCGACAACGTCCTTGCGTACGAGCTGGTCACCGCATCTGGACTGATCATCAATGTCAGCGAGAAATCGTTCCCAGATCTTTACTGGGCTCTACGAGGTGGCGGCAACAACTTCGGTCTCGTCACAAAGTTCACAGTGAACGCTATCCCCCGAGCACCGACAATGTGGGGTGGGATGCGAACGCATCTCCCGACCAATTTCACTGCTCTTACGAAGGCATACTACAACCTCGGTATGAATGCGAACAAGGACGGAAAAGCCCACCAGATCTTATCGTTTGGCTGGGGCAGACCTAACCTTGGTCCTGTCGCTCAGCTTGAGCTGGAATACTCAGACCCCGTTGCCGATGCTCCAGTTCTCGCCGAGTACAACAGTATCAAAGGAGCAATTGCAGATGGAACGGGAGTCAAGAGTCTCTCCACTCTTACTTCGATTCTAGCTGGCCCCGCCACTGGAAACGGCCTTCGACAGGGCTTTTGGACCTGGACTACCACGCTCGATCTGGAGATGGCAAACACCGCCAGGGACATCTTCTTTGAGGAACTCCCGAGCATCATGGACGCGGCAGCCATTATCCCAGCTCTTTCACTCCAGGTGATCACCGAACCTATCATCGAGCAGAGTGCTAAGAGAGGAGGCAATCCGCTGGGTCTCGACCCCAAGGAAGGACCATTGATGCTGGCTCTAGTATCTCTGAAATGGTCCGACCCTGCGGATGACGAGAGGCTCAACACATTCGCCAGAAGAGTCCAGGATCGTTCCTCCGCTGCCGCAAAGGCTGCAGGGAAGATGAACGACTACCTCTACATGAACTACGCCAGTCCATACCAGAACGTCGTCGCTGGGTATGGTGCAGCAAATCAAGCTAAGCTGAAGACCATCTCAAAGAAGTACGATCCAACTGGTGTGTTTGAGACGCTCCAACCCGGCTATTTCAAGCTTGACGGCACGCCATCGGGTGAGTTCTAGGGGGCCAGCCCTCTATACTTCGCGGATAGCAGTGATAGATGAGTAACTCATATCGTTAGCCTTACCTGACCTTCATTTGGACCCTTTCCACTTTGATGATTCTTTCCAAACCAACTCCTCCTTGCCTGTTTCCTGTCTTTCATGTTGAGGAAGTCACTGCGTCGTCCGTTGGTTGTTCGAGTAGCTAAGAGAAGGTACTTGAAAATAATGTCATCGTTGGAGGTGGTTTGATGCTGAGTGGGAGTTGCTGAATTGGCAAGAAGGTCGATAGGATAAGGTGAAAGTGGCTTCACGTGATATCTTTTCAATCAACATATCAGCTGTCTGCGCTATGCTAGGGCTATATTTTCGATACTATGCGTCTTTCAATGTCTTGTACTAAGAAATCGCAGCAGTTTTGGCGACATTGCAACATCAGATGGTCTTCAGAAGCGGTGTGCGGCCGCTCAGTGAGCGCCCGCAAACGCGCAAGGACGCGAAACTTTGCTGGACCCTTTTTCTTCGCGACGATATCCCACACCTTCTCAAGTCAATATTACCGGCACGAACAAATTCGACATCATAAAGCTTTTCGTTCGCCCGTTACCTGCGTCCTTCCAAGCGCATCCTCACAATCGTGCCCACCGCCGCCGTCCGATCAGTCAGTACATCAACAAGCCACCTCCGAAGCTGTCACCGCCAATTGCAGCTCCCCAAGACAACATGGCACCTCGTTCGCGCCTGCCTTCGCGCGATCCCCTCCTCCAAGACGAGAGCGACAGGCTCGTCTACGCGAGCAAGCGCGCCGTGGACAGACAGAACTCCGAGATCTTCAAGCTGGATGACCAGTACGAAGAGCTTCTTGATCAGGCCGAGAATGCTCAACATGAGCAAGAGAAGCTCATCGAAGCCTACCATGGCGCCGACAGCAAAGTGACCAGACTGGATGGTCAGAACAAGCGGCTGAGGACGCAGCTCGAGCTCGTGGGGACGGAGAACGACGAGCTGAAAGCTTACAACAGCGACCTCGCCCGGCGTCTGGCGGAGAGCGAGCGAGAGAACGCTCGTCTCAAGTCTGCCGAGAAAGAGAAGAAGCGCAAGCGAGAGGACTTGCCGTCGCCGTTTGAGGAGGGTCCAGATGCGGACGAGAGCGCATCCAAGACAGAAGAGAGTTCTCAGGCCAAGGTCCATGGGGACTTGGTCCTTGGCAGGCCGAAGCCACAAGAGATGGCTGCGGCAGTACAGGAGGAGAAGCGGGCTCACAAGAGACCCAGGCGACGACGTCACCGCGATGACACAACGTATGTCAACACATATCATATTGTCGTCTTCAACTAACATTCGTGACAGCAGGTCTACTGTCAAGGCTGCTGTCGAGGTGGAGGCGGATGTGGTGGAGAAGATGAATGCGTAGATACGGGAGACGCTCGAGGAGGGTGGTAGGATACTGCGTGGTGTATACGTGGATGTGTAGGATAGATAGATAGTCGTGTCAATAGTACTGAGCACTTCCCCACCGCTACATGGTATCTTGAATCCTGCGGTGTTGCAGCCATATAGACCCCAAACTTGTGCTAATATCTCACATTTTAAACGAAAACTCTTCCTCAATTCCATGCAACAAGGCCTGGAGATCAATGAAAAGAAAGTGTTGGGCGCGAGACACCCGGTTCACCAGATTCACACCCAAAGGTTGCGACCTGACACTCGCACGATTACGACCATGAGGCAACTAGAGCCTCGAATGGCCGACCTCGCGTGTTACTCACGGGCAGCCGGAGCTGCGAGCGTGATGTGAATCCCATGCAGATGCGAGTATCATCCCATAGAATGGGTATGCACTCTGAGCGAACGATACCCACCGAGGTAGGTATGTTCAACGAACGAGAGTCAAGGACAAGAGGAGATGCAGTGCTTGCAAGCGCCGCTCCAATAACAGACCTCCAGGGCTGCTAGACTGGTCTTTTATAATCTCAACTTGGAGCCTTGCTGGTTGAAGTTCTTGCTGGGATCTCGCCGCACCCGAAGGCGACGTAACAGCTGCGCCTAAAGAAGAAGAAGAGGAATTGGGCGGGAAGTCGAGTATATATGTGCGACGAAAGGACGCTAGTTAGCGAGCACGTGAGCTGTTTTTCATAGCCTGGTCGTCAGTCTGACGGCGTAGACGCGCTGTTTGTGTGACCAATAAGTGGAGAAAGTGAAGGTGAGAAGCCGCTAGTGACAAAAGCAAGAGAATCTCTAGGCAACCATTAGAGCAGATACTACCGCTCAAACACCTTCGTCGAACAAGACACTTCCTTTCTTTGTCACTTCACTACCTACGCGTCCAATCAATATCATACAAGATGCCCGTCAACAACAGTTCCACCCAGACAGACGACGTCACCGCTCGCGCCGACGCGACTGGCGACAGCGACTCACCCATCGACCGTAGCTCGCGGATCAATGAGCTCAAGGCGACTCAGACGTCACTCGTGGAGCTGATGTTCGATTTGGTCAAAGATAAGGCAGAAAGCGTCGGCAAGGATGCATACCTGACGCAGATGGAGAAGCGGCTGGAGGAGTTGGAGGAGACCATTCGGCAGCTGCGCGAATGTCTAGACGAGTCGGAGCGCGAGTGTCAGGAACTGGCTTTTGCAGCGAAGATGTACAAAGTGAAGAGCGAATTGTACGATCGCGGGTAGGTCCTTCCATGAGTCTTTGAGAGGCCGAGGCTAATACATTACCATCAGTGCTACTCAAGAGACCACCATATCTACGCAGGACGGCTCCGAGCCTGGCTTCCCTGAATGTCCCAAGCGAAGCTTGGATGAGATGCAGTAAGTCCACCTGAACACGTGACCGAGCTCCACTGACATGTACAGATCCGAGAGTGAAAGCCAGCCTGCACCCGCCGCCAAGCGAGTCAAGGTCGCCAAAGAGCGTATCGTCGTGTGCATTTTCTGCTTCCGGAACGGCATGCGATGTGACTCCGGGGAGCCATGTCAGAGCTGCCTGAAGAACCGTAGCAAGTGCCAGCGTGCGAAGTGTGCCAACTACAAGGCTGGCAAATGTTCCGTCCCAACTTGTACCAGGGTACATGAAGATGACGAGCGGAAGTACAAGAGGACCGTGAACGCAGGTCATGTGGGCAGGAAGAAGAATACGGGGGGTACGTTCAAGGTTGATGATGGTGGTGATGATGATGCAAAGCCAGGCGGTGGTGGAGCAGGTGTGTTGGCGAAGGGGCTCTAAGGATGGGGTTGAGAAGGACAGCGTTCATAGAAGCCTGGAGGTCGTCAGCTCGATTACAGAGAGAAAAGACACCATCCCTGAACCAATGTATCCACAAACATTATCGTAGAGAACTGGGTTTGAGAGCGTAAAAGTACCCGAAGGACAGCACACCTCACCATATCATAATTTCTGAAACCTCATAATACAAAGTAGCCATCATAACAATCCCCTCAACCCAGCATACTCCTCTTCCTCCCCCTCAACCTAACCCCTTCTAACCTCTTTAGGACACCCCTCGCTCCCTTCCCACACTCCCCATACGCCTTAAGCACTTCCTGGAACAGCGGCTCCGCAGCGGGATGTGTGGCCGAGAACGCCCTCTCAAGGACGTACAGATCAACAGCCTTGTCCTCGTCTTGTATGCTAGCGGTTGTGAGACCGAAGTCGATGAGGAAGATGTCGCCAGCTAGCGAGTTGGTATTGGACTGTTGTGGAGGGTTCGCAGGAGGAAGGTCTGGAGGCTCTTCGCCGTTCATGGCTGCTTCGCGGAGTGTGCTCGTTGTCTGTTTTCCGCGTGGTATTCTTCTGTGTGGTTGTTGTGCTGGAGTGTCTTGCGACTTGAGTGTTTGTAACATGATGTTGCTTGTTGTGAGATCTCCGTGACATACTCCCAGTTCGTGCAGCTTGCCTACTTCCCGTCCGACTCTTCGCATCAGGTCTAGTATTTCTTCTTGTCCTTCCTGCGTGTTTTTGTTCTCTTTTTCTCTCTGCGTGACTTGATGTGCCCACCCATCCAACACTTTCCTCACCGTCCTGCCATCCACATACTCCAGCACCAACCAGCCCGCATCCCAGTCCGCGCCAATCACCCCCGGTACATTAACGCCATCCCTCTTGACTCTTATAAGACTACGTGCCTCGGCTAGTAACCTCTGCTTTGTAAGGCGCTTGTCTAAAGTGGGATGTCTGTATGGCTTTGGTGGCCGGTATTTGACGACGACGGGCGTGTGGGGAGTGAGGAAAGTGGTCTTGTATACGAGGGCCTCGGCGCCTTGTGTTATGATTTCGAGCGCATCCTGTGAGAAAGGCGCGGGGAGCGTGTGGAGCGGACGCGACGTTTCGGGCGGTGGTGGGGGTTCGATTGGAGGGACGACAGGCGGCTCGGCCATTGCGATGCGGGTTGTATTGATGGGCGCGGCTTGCTGCGAGTTCTTGGTTGTGTATAGACCAGAGGATGACGTGTTGAATATGCAGGGCGTAGGTGAGTTCGGGATGTGCGGTGTCGAATGGAGATGTTTTGGTGCTGACATTTGAAGCTTCGCAGTTGCCCCGCGACGCAACACCAGCCTTCAGCCCTGTCACGCTTATCGATTCTCTAGCCTCAACACCACGCGAGCATCGTGTCGATCACCGTTCAACGGCCATGACCACACTACAGTACCGAGATTGGCTTTTACCCTGACCGAGTCGCCGTTGAGCACAGATGGAGATTACTTCTCCGGATTTGCACTCATTTCATGAGATTGCGAGCTGTGTCACTGACATACATGGGTTGCTACTAGCCAGTGCCTGACTTTCCGGGGAAAGTAACCATTGAGTCAAATCATGGGCCTCATCTCACAATTGAATAGCGTTCGTTTTGAAAGCGAGTGTGATTGCATTTAGGTATCTCATCCTACATGATCCACTCTTCCTTGTACATCGCCTTGTTGCGGCGGTAGCGAATGGATTTGGTCAAAAGCACAGTATCTTTCAACAAACAATGGTAACACAGAACTGAAGCCCCAAGAAGGCAGTGAGCTCCA